AACAAACAACTTGTGAATGTTCAATTTCACTGGTACATTGATACGATAGTATTAAGATATTTCTAATTACTCTGGCATAAAGGTACCCCCTAAGTTCTTAACCAGATAGTGCAAATATTTTTTAAACTCCACCTAATCCCGTAAGTTGTAAAGCCGTGCTCCGTTGACAATGCCTTTCCACAGTCAAAATGACGGTACAAATCGTCGCCACACAAAGCCTCACAGCGCACAGCGCGAACCTAGCCCACCGCTCGCAGCAGACCACATATCCCAAACACACCTCGGTATTTTAATCTAACACCAATTATTCTTTTTTAAGTCCCTGGGTTGAACAGATCTTCAAGATTTGAATGCATTACTTGTAACGCTTTTCATTCGCCTCTGTTTGTGTTTAAATATTTTAGAGAAATATCTGTGTTGTTATAATACTGATCAGGTATATTTCTCAGCATTCAGAAGGCCATTTAATGTTATGAAGCCACTTGAAGATCTGTTGTAATTTTACAAAAGTTTCCACCCAAGCTTCTACTACAACATTGCGCGTAACGTAAAAAAATCACATCCGAATTCACATTATTTACTTTTTTATTATAAAAATACAAAAATACAAAATGGGACAGTGCGACCATACATTCAACTATCGCCCGCCATACTAATTTCAACTAGGAGGGGAGTAGGGAATACTAAACAATTTACAAAAACCCATTGAGCAATTTCATGAAAAAGAACCACCAAAAACACGAACGAGTGTACGAAATTCACAAATAAAACGTAAAAATAAATTTTATATTAAAACTCAACTCGTTGCATCGACGCAGAAAATACAATACAAACAAAATTTCCTTTCAAAAGTGTAGCCATATCAAATCATTGAAAAACTACCAACTTTGAAAATGCAGTACAAAAACGAAAATCAGTCGATAATAAAATTAATGATTCAAAGTATGCAAGTGAAAATGGTTCCTACATAAGGTGTTCGGGGCGATCAAGGCGTGTTTTCATTTATTTTCTAGAAACTATTTAGAGAAATTGTATTCGTATTTTCTATTTATACTGAAACTATTAATTTACTAAGAGATCTGACTACTGGAAATTTATGAATAAATCAGCACATAGAAGTAATCTAACCTTCAGGATGTAATCTAAATGTTTTAGTTTGAGATAGGTATATATAACGTTAGCAACAAACCGTTAACTCTGGTTTACCAAAATTTCCAGTAAGCAATAAACGTCAGATCGTTGAATTAGAGCTCCACACTCGCGTGCGTTTATTAAACTCTGTGCACATCGCGAGACCCGCTGCCGTAAAATAGCTATAATACATACTTATCTAAATACTAGGAAAAATATAATATTATTCTTTCACTTCAAATATTTTGTCTACAATAATTGATTATAATACTTGCAACATTTTCGGCGCAAGAGTCCCGCGATGTGTTTCGTGGCAAATTTTACTAAAATGCTACTACTATTAATATAAATTGTATCTACTTAACTTTTAGTGGGGGGTCAATTTTACCCCGGCCGCAATTATGAACATTAAAATATAGAGAATTTTGGAGTAAAACTGACCCTAAATTAGATCGAGAGCCAATGTGGGAGAGTAACGAAACTTGGCTCATCACAAGAATCGAACGGGCCAGAGCTATATTCGAGCTACGTCGGGAGGGGTACACCAAACTCATACGCCACTTCAAGGCACTATTAAGCCTCATGATGATTACCGAAATAATGTACCACACAACACGAAAAAACCGCATCGAAATCATGAAAAAAATTATCAAAAAATCCGCGCAAGTCTTTATACTACAGTCTATATTATTTCCGTGGTCTTTCGGGATACGTTATCTAACTCCACAGTGTGTATCCGTTGTTTACTACAGATTTTAAGTACTGAAAAAAAAACGTCACTACTTCGTACAAAATGTTGCCGAGGCTACGATTGCATTTAGCCTTGGATCGTGGATGGAGCAAGAAGTGTCCAGAATGCAAATCGCAACATTTTAGGAGGAGTAATTTACTGCAAGCCAGCACTCATTTTAATATATACCGTGGTTTCATTTCTGGACCAAAGGTAAATATCAAAATTTAAGCGCAGCTCAATCGGCAGCGGTCTCCTTGTAAATTCAGTATTCAGTACTGCAAGGCATTGCCGATGCAAACGCGCGATTATATCGTACACAAATTAAATATCGGTGCTTAGATTCAGAACGTTTACTATAGATGACATGAACATTTATTTACGAGTTAGGCTTACGTTTGCAGCTACAGAATTGGCCGAGTTAAACTCAAAATTGAGAGCTTCTTGAGTACTCTTTCTTTTAGTTACGATATGACATGTAATTAGCTGAGTTGAACTCAAAATTGAGAGCGTATCGAAAACTCCACTCAAGAATTAACCTCACGAGGTGTATTTACATAGATTTTAGTCATAAATAGTAAACGCCCTCCACTAAAATTTGGTCACAATCCCAAGTGAAAAAAGCGCGCACGCTCAAACGTGAAACCCTTCCTCAATTTACACTAGGTATAATAAGGTTATATCATATATCTTAAATAATTTCGAAGTACACACTATTGGTCCTAAAATGGGACAAATTAGGGCCACTAATGGTTATCTTGAAGTTTAAATACTATACTACCGTCTATTGCACTACCCCGGCGAATTCAAAAAAATAGTTTCATATATTACTTTTTAAATACTAAAATTAAAAGGCGCAGGGACTGTTTGCTCGAGCATTAAGGTACTTTTTTTTACTCGCAACTTTTAAAGCTACCAAGTTTAGTAGCCTAGGGATTGTCATTAGGCATCCCATGCAGAAAGTGACATTTCTATGTAGCTTTGGTATAAAACCGCTCTCACTAACATCCCCACTAAACTTGCAGAGCAAGACTACAGCCAAATTGGTAACCGTTTCGTTTAAGTTTGTATTAAAACTACTTTCCCTACCGCCTCCCTTGTCGAAATGTTAACCCAATGTCATTTTGTACCGCCATCCACGTTCGGTAGAGCAGCCTTCTAGCCGCGGCCATAGCCAAGAAATGTTGGACAATGTGCTATAGGACAGCCGGGTTGCCTATTTCGTTGGCTCAAAGTAGACTCCAGGCGTAACTAATTGAGCCTACACACACAGGTAAGAAGGAATGATTGGGGGGTGTATAAAACTCGTGTACAACAGAGTGGCCGCTTTTAAAGTCGAAACTTTAGTTCTGTCAGATGTACTGAAGAGTCTCTACGAACGGAACAACGAGGCAACGACAACAGTATCCAATCTATGGTCTTAACGAAATAAAAAGGGAAACTATGAGGAAATTGTCTCTAGCTACACAGGTACAATAATGATTTGAAAGATCAGACATTCCACTTATGTCTTACGCTTAGTATCTTACGATCAGTGAGCGATACATGGCGCGACTGTCGCAGAGTGGTGCGATAAGTCGCGAATGCATTATCTCGTAACAGATTGACCTTACCTATCCACATACGACAACGGACAACTAGCTAAGTGTTGGATAAATATTTTGCTTAATTCGAATTTTATTCAGTAAAATGTTTTTGCGGAAACTACCATTTTCTACCATTTTCAGCGTTGGCAATGTTTCTTACAAGTACTCATATTTTAAAAATCTTACGTTGGTAATGGAAGTGTCCGCAAAAATAATCGTTTTATTGAATCGACGTCTTGTACTTCCTTTCTATAATATTTTGCTTAATATTAAATTGCGGATGACTTGAGTAAATATTTCGCTTCGACAGCTGAACTGTTTTTTCAAACATCAATTTCCAAGAGTTTCTATTCTGTAAGATTTCCTATTGGGCAAGGCCGTTTAAAGTCTTTAAAGGATTATGCGTGTGTTAAGTTTTTTAGGGTTCAATTCTGGCCTCTCATGGGAGCTAGCTTTAACATAAGTGAACAAGAACGCGGAAATTGGTTGTCACTTCTTGAAATCGATGTTCACAAAACCAATCAGCCGAGTATGTCCGTTTTAGTTCAGTTGACGCTTATAAAGTGTTGTCATCTATAATATTATTAGCCAGTTAGTACGATTATCCTTACAAAAACTAGTCTAAATTAAGAAAATTCTTCACGCCTACCCTTGCTTGGCAAGCAGAGGTAAGTGGTACTATACTAAGAATTAACCACTTAATTCAATATAAGAGGTCATTATTTTTACTAGAGCAATATTTAAACTAATTAAATAATTCTACCAAAACTCTTTAGGGAGCCGTAAAGATTTATTCGAACTGGCAACTTATTGAAGTGTTACCAGTATTTAGACTAGTTTTAACCAATTCTAATAGTCCGATGTGTGAATTGGGCAAATGTTATTTGAAGAATTAAAATATATTTTCATAATATATTTTAATTTCAAATGGAGACTGCAGCGTGGGTTAATCTTCCGGGTAGTATAGAGATAAAATGGGTTTAAAAATGAATATTGGGTAGGAAAATGTGAAAGTCATTTTAGTCAGGGAAAGTTAGTCCTTGATTGAAATGAAAACTCATTTAAAGGGAGGATCAGCCCAGATCCATCCTACCCTAACTACTACCCGGAGACATGTTATAAGACACGGATACTACCCAATATCGCGAGTACATCAGTTGTTCGGGTTCGAGACCACCACGTGTTGGATAAGAGGGGGTAGTGACCTACGAGCAAAGGGGGAAGTGGGAATCAAAATACATCATTAACCCTAAAGCAATATGTGGTGGGTGTTGTTTGAACCTTACTATTAAACGTTATTAAAACACACGAATAATACCATAACCACACTGACACGTGTTCACTACCCGGCATTATTATGCCCCCATCAAATCATTATATTTCTCAATTCTAGCTATACCACCCACAACTACCAACCCTTTACCCTCAACACCTCCCCTCATGCCATCAGCACACCTTCCCCATGATCACAGCCGCCTTCTTGTAATTATGTGGCTGGACTCGTTCTCCCCCTCACCCCCTACCCCCAGGTCTCGTGGCCACGTGTGGCGCAACTAGCACCAGCGGAAGGGCACGGCGCGGGGCCGGTCGGCGCCCTCCTTGACGAGCGGCTTGTGGAACTCCCGGCCGGGCCGCGAGTGGATCGTCGCCCAGCAGTGCTCGCAGTAGTACTGGAAGTTCAACACACTCATTGTCTAATACAGAATTAATTCTAGACTAATCAGCTGAATACTCTATTAGGATCTAAATTAATGTTTATCAAGAGTAGTGTCAAGCGTTTGACAAAAATTGTGACTTCCACCGATTTCTTAAACGTCAAAACTTAAAATTTAATCGATTTGTCAAACATCAAATTTAACATTCAACCGATTTGTCAAACGTCAAAACTAACATTCAACCGATTAGTTAAACGTCAAAACTGACGTTTAACCGATTTAACAGATGTCAAAACAGAATACGTGTAGTATTCTGTTTTGACATTTGTCATATCGATTCAACCAGGATCAACAGCAGTGTCACACGGACATCGGCAATCTCCAGGAAAAATTAAACTGTCTTGGAACCAGCAACGAAATTAATCCGAAGCAAATTAGAGGAGTTTGGAAATATAATAATAAATCCACTTCCCTCCTTAGCAAAGCGGGAGGTAACCGACTTATCAATCGTCAAAACTATTAACGTTTAACCTATCTGTTTGACAAACTCGATACGATTTAATATTTACAGATACGTCACAAGGTTTATCGTTTAACAAATGAAAGTTACCCGGAGCTGGATGGGCACGTAATCTTATAATACGAGACTAATTTACGTCAAATTGGAAGGGATCAACATCATTTTCCTTTTCCCAATTTGATTTGATATCGAATGGGTTTTGGCTGGTTTCTCATACGTGTCTCACGACAACCTTCCTTGGGAGTTTAATCGTTGCTAAATTGGTCAAATGGAAGAAGTATAGGGCTGGAGAGCTAGAGTTAAGAACGAGAGGAGCTCTAAAAGGGTAGGCTGGCAGGGTCCTAGGATTAGACTGGCCAATAGGACAGGGACTTAGTACAAATACTTTACCTGTAGACAAGTGACGTTGGCGCAGAAGAACGGTGCAAACTTGGACCCGCAACGCGCGCCAGCGCACTCATCACACATCTGATCATCCAGGACATACGGCTTTACCTGAAAACAGATAAATCTCCATTAATTTGGATTTTTACAAAGTTCGCACTTGTTTTCCTAACACTCCGGGAGTGTCAAAGTATGACTCTGAAGCGAATAAACCTGTAGATACCGAACCAGTAAGCAAGCGGTTCGTGGGTAACCGCTCGATTACTCCGGAAGGGACCTTACCTCAACGCGCTTGTCGATGTCCCCATGCTGCAGCTGCACGAAGCGCGCGGAGATGGCCGCGATGTACGACTGCTGGTTGGAGAACGCCACGCGACCAGCGCCCTGCCACAAAAAACACCCAATGTATTCTGTGCACCCTTCTTTGAACCGCGCGAAAATTATTTTCACGCCTATATCACCGCCTATGACACCATAGGAAGTGTGAAGATTATGGGAAATGGGTAAATACCTTTGGATATTTGAGCTCTGGGTCCGTGTCGATTCCCGCGTAGCACACACCGCCGTACAGCCGGTCCATTATCATCGCCAACTCCACTGAAATTGAAACGGGTTGCTCTGGTTTTTAACAGAATTCAAGAAAAGGAGGTTCTAAAACTCGCTTGCATTTTGTTTGATATTTTGAGAACACTTCTAGAAAAATCTTCCCCAAGCCTGAAAGTCCGTCGATCTGACAAAAAATTCTTAATAATTTGAACTTTTCCCCCGTAAGGTTTATAGGCTCTTTTATGGCAAAATCAGTAATACCAGGTATTTAAGTTAGGTCACTTAATAATATTATATAGTCATATATCGTCTAAATTTCTATCCGTAATTTTAATATATTTAGGCATTACTATCGTAAGGTAATTTAATGACTAGAAAACCGTTTCTTGACAATTTACTCATGATTAATAATTTAAATTATTTTTATAATTTTTTCTTCCTTATTCCTCCATTTGCCTTGCCCGAAAAGTCCCATAATTGTCGCCGTACCTAGCTTGTAAGACATAACATTATGTAGTGCAATAAAGATTAAGATAAGAATATTTCGTTTCAGCTATCAAGTTAAGTCACTCACCAGCCTTGAGAGGGCGTGGCACTCCTCCCACAAAGACAGTCTTCCTAGGATCCAGAGACATGCTGGCGTCGAGCACAAAGTCCGCGTCGGCGAGTCGCCACGGCCGGATCTGCACCGGCTTGTCGCGGATCGTGGGTGACGAGACACACAGGTACAGCTTATCATCATCTGTTATGCACGCTTCCATCAGAGCCGCTACTGAGCTCTCATCCTGAAATAACCAGAAAAAATGTACTAAAAATAAAACTTCGTTTTTATTGAATTCCATAAAATGTTATCAATGCTACACGTATTGGAACTGCAAGCAAATAACCATCTGTGGCGACAAACATAATAAGAAAATCAAACTTAATACCATTACCAACTACGGACCCGGTCCAATTTACTCGTGTTCTAACTTTACTGTCCAGCGATTTAACTGAGAACAAGTGTATAGCATCCATGTGGTGACGGTTTAAGAATGCAGAGTGTCACCACCTCTATTCATCCCGTGGGTATCATAAAATACGACTAAGACAACATAGTACTGCAAAGAGATGGCAAACAAACCCTATACTAATCCGTCTGGCCAGAGTGGTATAGTAGGCCAAAACATTTCTAAGGCTGTTGATGTGATGTGAAGTTTATAGCAGTCCATATAGGGTATAGTGATGATTTTCAGTTCAAGGATTATGCGCAATCTGTTCTCTGTTCTCGACTGGCTAGATGTAAATAATCTAAGAGCTAACATAGGAAAGACAATGCTCATGCATTTTAGTCAGCGTATTCCTAGTATGAAAAACCTACAGATATGCGCTAACGGCCAATCTTTAAATGAAGTAGATTCCACAAAATTTCTAGGTGTAATAATAGACAATAAGTTAACATGGAAACCACATGTAGAACAAATATGCAAGAGGGTCAGTAAATCAGTGTATGCACTTCATGAATTATCACAAGTAATTAATACTCATGCACTTCTGACTGCATACCATGGTATGGTGGCGTCAGTTCTTAGGTTTGGTATAATTTTTTGGGGTAACTCTGTACATAAAGATAAAAGTATTCAAGGTACAGAAACGTTGTGTGAGGGCAATGTTCTCTCTAAAATCAACCGACAGCTGTCTGCCCTATTATAAAAAATATAATATTTTGACACTACCTTCCATTTATATACTCGAGGTAGCTATGTTTGCCAAACTAAATTTTAATTTATTTGTTTTGTCTTCTGGCGCGTATGGCCGAATGCAAAGAGATAAATCCCGGCTATGCCTGTGTAAATCAAACACTGATCTAATGCATAACAGTGTTTTCGCCATGGCTCCAAAAATATATAATAAATTACCTAAGAATATAAAGGAGTCCAATCCGACTATCTTTAAACAGACATTTAAAAAAATTCTGAGCCAAAAATGCTATTATAATGTAAATGATTTTCTGCAAGACAAATTGTAAATCAAATTAATTTCGTTCATTGTTATTTAATTTATGTTGAACATGACAATGTGACATTTTTTTTTCATTTTTATTATTTTGACTATTTGATTATTATTGTTGTTTTTTTTTTTGTTATTTTTTGGTTTTATTGTATTGATCTGACTTAATAACATTCATAATACTCTTGACATTATTAATTATCTGAATAAATTTATGATATGAATATATTTTTCAAATTGTATTTATAATGTTGAACGTCTAAATAATAATCTTTTAAATATCTATGTCTAAATATTTGCACACCTTTAAGAGGTTATATTACAGCGTACCCATGTATGTATCTTCTACCACCTTTATACCTGTTTTATGCAAATAATAAATGATTTTTGATTTTTTGATTTTGATATAACAAATTCCAGAATTTAGGTTGAAATCTCTTTAAGCAATCTCAGATTACATGACCTAGGCAGCAATAGAGAAAATGATAAGTCTGACTACTTACCTGAAATAGTAGAAAAGCGTAACCCTTGGGCGGAAAATAGCTCTTGCTTTCAGCTTTGTGCGGCCAGTCCACCACCAGCGGGCCGAACCGACGGAACGACGATGTGATCTCGTCTGGAATACAATGGAAATCACATAAATATTATACTTAATAATATATTATTAGCTTGGAATTTATGTATGCATCTATGTATGTATTCGAACGAACCCACTTTAAAACGTCGAAATAAATTTGAAACTTCACACACTTTTCCAGGACTTATGACAATACATTAATATAATTTGATAAATTTGGCCGATTATTCTGATCAGGATCCTCAGGATTAACTAAAAGTACGGTAGTGTCTTTTACTACGTACTAAGAGGCGTGTGCTGAAGCATATGTCACTTACTTGTTACTTTTTTTAGTGTTAATGAGAAAATAATCATCATTAATGACTAAAACAAGCAAAAAAAAAACCATACGATAAAATAATATTTCATTTTGGACTTCTAGAAACTTACTTTCTACTTTTTAGTTCGTCTAGTTACAAAAGCGTGTTTTTTTTACTAGTATTTCTTAAGGTTTGCCTGGTGGTTTCTTAAGGTGGGCAACGATAGTTTTATTTAAAGACTTTTGAGTCCTACATAGTAGGTAGCTAGGTAGCTACGGATTCTATGTATCTACGAGTATTCATACTAGGGGTCGTCCAGTGGTCGAAATTCGACCATAATTCATTTAATTTTTAAGTTTGAACTATAATTAAAGGTTTCAGTATGGCTATAATGTATTTCTAATGCATTCTATATAAAAAATAGCTATATGCATTCCTTCTCCATATAAACTGTGCCAAATTTCACGTTTATCCGTTAGCGCAATTTTATTAAAAAGGGTACAAAGTTTCCGCTTCACGTATTAACAACATATAGAAATAAAGATATGTATATATTATGATTGAGCCCTTATCTATTTTACATAAAAATATTTACGTCGTATGTAAACAGTCCCTCCGTCTCCGATGTCCTCGTAACAAATACGTCATCGGGCGTCCTTTGAAAACAACTTCTAGTTGTAAACAAATTTATTATTTAATAAAAAAATAACTTTCCTCTTGAAATCTGTAGGGTATCAGATAACTTAAGAGTAATTCATTATGACGTAGCATTTTTACTTGAATTCAAACTGTAGGGATTTAAAATGTAGTTTTGCGGAATATGCCTTATGCGTAAGGGAGAGGTAATCTTCCTGTGTTAAAAATCTAGACCAAACCAAATTTGACAGTTTGAAGGTCGTAGATACTTTAGCACATACGGGCTGGTTTGATAGGAGTCCTACCACGACCTCTCAAAAACCGGTGTTAAGAAGTTATTTCGTTTTATTTCTCGGTTAAAAGGAATTTTGTAGGGGTGGTTTTTAAAGGTCGACATCGCAATTGTGACAGAGTTACAGGTGTACATGGGTGGCGGCACTATCAGGTGACCCGTCTGCTCATTTTATCACTTCTTTATACCAAAACAGGCACCAAGATTGATAGATCTTTGTGTAATTAGTCGATTTCTACTCTAAATTTAAATTACAACTTTCTGTATCCTCTATAATGCGATTTCGAACAATTTTATTTATTTAAAAAAACAAAGATATTTTGAGTTTTTAATAAGATATTACTCAAACTTCCGCTATCGTTCATAAGTCAATCTTGCAATAGAAACCTACCTGTTTCTGAATGAAATATACCCTACGTTCTTTCTGTACCCCACGTACATAAAATTTTTCTTTCTCATGTTATACTGGCAAGTGACTCCAGCTACCCGTGGATACCTGCAGCTCAAATAACGAATGCCGTGCTCAGAGCAGCAACTCATCCTTTGATTTCCCTCCTAATTCTTTCTTTCTGGGTGCTCGGGCTCCGATACTCTCACTCGGAATAGCAGGGTTTTTTTTTTGCCTGATACTGATTTTCTGTGAAGCCGTGGTATCACTCTGATGGAGCTGGCTCATGTTTACCAAAGCATGGGTCTCCCACAAACAGTCAGGAACCCTGACAGTATTTATGCCAATTGTCATGATTATCAGCTAAGGTATAAACTCACCTTCGCTTATACAAATGAGATTATTGTTGTAGAAAAAACTTCTAGAACAAAACCTGGCCAGGTCAGTCGGTCGTATAATTTGCTCTACATATTATCGGGGTCATTATCGACGCGCTGTGTTCAGCCTTGGGCCTAACCATTATGGTGGAGGACCTTCAGACCGTGTTGGTACACGGTTGCACGGCAACCTAACGGTGGTCAATTTTGTAACGCGCACTTGCCAGTAATTGGATTGTGATTTGTAATGTATGTTTAAATTATTTAAAGGGAATGCTTTTATTTTTTTGTTATGGTGTACGGGGCAGACGAGAAGACACCTGGCAAGTGACGGGATAAGCGTTTTGTTTATGTGCCCGCTTTTTGAGGTATATTTAAATGACTGCACGGATGGCGTAGTGGTTTAAGCGGTCGCCGAGTGTTGTGCGTTCGATCCCCACATGGGAAGACAGTTTGTGTGATCCACAAATTGTTATTCTAAGTCTGGGTGTCGTTTGTGTCCGTTTCTTGTATGTTTAAGTCCTCTGCGACACAAGATATATTCCAAAGGCGATGAATTAGGAATCGGTGTTATAGTAGCTAATAATTTTAATGTGTATGTGAATTTGTTTGTAACATTTTCACGCCTTAACTACCCAATCAAAATTATAAAATGGATACAGGGAAGTAAATAAAATAAGTTATTTTCTTACATTCTTGAGTGGAAAGTAAGACCTGTACGCCTGACTGACCTGTTGGTCCAGTGCAGTAAAGATCTAAACCATATTTTGAAATTAATCATTCTGAATTAGCGCAATTCCGTGGTACAGAGCAATGTTAATCTATCTCTAGTCAATTCTACCCTGACAATCTATGAAATTCTCGTGTCACGGTGTGCGTGGTTGAACTCCTCCGAAACGGCTCGACCGATTTTCGTGAAATTTTGTGTGCATATCGGGTAGGTCTGAGAATCGGCCAACATCTATTTTTCATACCCCTAATTATTATTTTTTGACATTTTTTTTTGAAATAACGTAAGTGGCAAAACAACGTTTGCCGGGTCAGCTAGTCTTTACATATAAAAAAATGTTAAGTCGGTTTGTGTATGCGCTTAAAAATCCAAGTTCTGCACCGATTCAGCTCAAAATTTCACACGAGATTCAAACCGCTTCAAAGTTTCTTTCTATTTTCGCGTCAGTTTTGTTTCTCGTTTCTAATCAATGCCACCACCAAGCGTGGCAAGGTACAGCGCTAGTGTTTAATATAAATCATATGTTCTGATGCAGCAAGGTTCTCCAATGGAGACCACGTACTGGAAAGCGCAGTGTGGGACGACCGCTTACCCGATGGACGGACGACCTGGTAAAGGTTACCGGAAACCGTTGGATGCAGGCCGCAATCAACCGTCCCCGCTGGAAATCATTGGGAGAGGCCTATGTCCAGCAGTGGACAAGCGTAGGCTGAGAATAAAAAAATAATAATATGTTCTGATTCTGGATGTTCTTCGTGTTTGTTTCATTATCCCCCGTGACACAGGATATATTCCTAGTGCGGGAGTTGTCTTTCAAAAAGAAAGGAAAGAAAAAAATAAGACTTATTTCCGTCGAGTTTCTTCCATACGAAAATAGGTTGATCTGTTTAGTATGTCATGTGTTGTTTCCTCCTAAAGTCATTTAAAACAATCTCAGCTAATATGACAAGCCGTACCCTATTTTCCATTCTCTCCGTCATTCAGTCGTCTAACAATTATCTGACATTATCTCATTCTATGTTTATCTCGCTCCTTCCATGTCCAAGTGGTATGAGCTGACGGCCGGAATCCCTTTGTGTATCTAAACTGGGTCATGTTATTTGATATAGCGACATTGTGAGTTTTCAGTACGGAAATGTTCATTTAAAATGACGCGCGGAGGTAATCAGTAGTGGGAACCTTTAGAATCAATTTTGTTTGTACTAGAGACCACTAGATAAATATATCAATATATAAAAGTTTATATGTTCCATTTAATATGTATGTATTTAGAAAAAAAACGTATATTAATTAGTACTAGCTGATCCGGCAAAGGTTGTTGTGTATACATTACTTCAAAAAAAAAATTGTCGAGAAAAAAAAAAAAGGGAGTATGAAAAATTGATGTTCGCCGATTCTCAGACCTACCCGATATGCACACAAAATTTCACGAAAATCGGACGAGCCGTTACGGAGGAGTTCAATCACGTACACCGTGACACGAGAATTTTATATATTAAATTCTATCAGTCTATCTAGTTTTGATAGTACAAACTCTGCTTAGCTTGAAACTGATGGCGTTGTGTGTCAGATGTCCGAAAAATATTATTATTATTAAGATATCATATTTGGAATATTCACGAAAACAAGACAATTAAAACGTTACAAATTCGACCGCTAGAAGTTATAGTATTTTTTTTGTGGATCTCCCCCTCACTACACTCCTATCCTTTAGGGATGATTTTATTGTCTATCCCACAGTGTAGGACATCCTTAGATAGGTCTTTAATCTAAACCATCATTCTCGCCATTGTTAATTTGTCAAGTGATGCGGACGGAATTTATAGTAGAATCTTGCACAACTTAACGGGTCTGCTAGTTCAGTGGCTAGTAATTCTACCTACTAAGCGAAAGGTCGTGTGTTAGATTCCCACCCAGAACTAATAATGATTTTATTCGCAAGATCACTTGTTCTGTTCGGGTTTAATTTGACTATTGAAGGTATTGAGAACTATATATGTGTTCATCAGCAGTCTGGTTAACATAGTACAGCCGTTTTTGAGGATCAGAACGAACGAAGGTGCGTAAAAGGAAGGCAGGAAAGCGTGAGCTATTAAATTTCAGAACTTCGACATCATTAGAGACTACTACTGTTTGGCTCGGTCGTTTCTTTAACCCACGAAGTTAGTAATCTGGTTCTTCCGGTATGCCACCGTACGAGCTGGTCATATGACAGTTAGGCACTCACCCTCATCGATATCTGGTGGCAGGCCCCCCACAAACACCTTGCGGCTGAAGCGCTCGCCGTGTTCGGAGCCGGCTGACACGGGTGAAGACCGCGCCGGCGAGCCCAGTGCGCTCACGCACATTGACAAACCTGAAATACAATATTATACATGATTCACATGATTTGACGACCGAATGGCGTAGTGGTTGTGTAACGGACTGCTATTCCAAAGGTCGCGGGTTCGATTCCCGCTCAAGTCAAACATTTGTGTGCGTGAACATTTAATGTTTGATTTGGTCTGGGTGTTTCTGTGTATAATATGTATGTATTTACAAAAAAAAAGTATATATGTATTTATATCAGTTGTCTAGTAGCCATAGTACAAGCTCTGCTTAGTTTGGGACTAGATGGCGTTGTGTGAATGTGGTAGAATATTATTATTCTTCTTTGAAACTTAATTCGAAGGATGGCTACTTCGTATGTCTATAGGCGGCATAACGTCTTTTACGCAGAACTTCGCTTCCACAGAAGGTCTCGAATATTGTCTTAAGAAAGATACTTTGCGAAGACACATGGAACTATGGAGTAACGACTAATAATGTATTGCGATATGAAAAATTCTCACGCATATTAGAATATGGCACAACTGCCAAATATCAACCGTTCGCCAGGTTTGTTCACCTCGCCTGGTCGAAGGATTGTGTTGAAGGGGCATGTCATCCGCCCTTCCACACAAAGGACTGCCTCTCTCCAGGTAAGGTCCATGGCAGCCTAATGCTTGGAGCTTTGAATCAGAAGTGCTAACATAGCTTTGAGCAGAAATCCACAGGCAGAAAGAGCTGTATTTCCAATACCGTTCCTAGATACAAAAACTCACCGGCAGCAGAGAGCCTGGAGACCACATCTTGAGCCTGTTCGGGCACGGAGGGTGAGCCGGCGCCGGCCGCGCCCCCTGCCACGCTTGCCTCCTCCACGCCGGGGAAGAATGGCGACTTGCCTGCCGACAAACAAAAAACTGTTGAAGTATTGTCAACAAACATAAGGTTGAGTAAGAAAAGGTTTAAATTAGAAAATTTTACAAATAATCCTAATGTCTGGCTGTGATACCCTTAACTGCACGGATGGCGTAGTGGGTTAAGCGGTCAGTGTTGTGGGTTCGAACCCCACATGGGACAGCACTGTGAGACCTACAACAAATCGTTATACGAGTCTGGGTGTTCTGTGTCGGTTTCATATATGTTTGTCGCGACACAGGATATATTTCTTAGCTTGCCGTATTTTATCTATAATATACTAGTACAATAAAGCTAAAGTATCAAAGTTTTTTTAACCAAGCTAATACCTAACTACTCGTATTACACCCAGATTCGAATGACCAAGTTGCGTAGTGTTTATAGAGCAATAAAATAGGCCAAAAAACATCTCGCTTCGTCCGCTAGGAGCAGAGCAATGACAAAAAAGACATTTACTTCTTTTACAATTATATTTACATCGAGTCAAAAGGCTTTATTCCTTTTATATCCCTGAAACACACATGGGTAAAACCAAAGATTTTTAATGTAATGTATTTTAAATTTAAATTAAGTAGTTTTTACGAAGGGGAATGGTTAACAGCCAAAGAAACCCCTCTTTTGTTTTAAAAGACCATTTTGAAAATCAAATAAATATTTTTTATTAACAGAGGCAACCCGCTATGACCTCTGTCACAAGAGGTCACGATTTAACGGGTCAATGACACGCAAATCCAGTATGTCCTGCTTATAGGGAGGGTATGATTTTTAATGAAACTAGGACAATAATCGGATCGGAAGTATCTAGTGACCGTGGAATGCGGCTGGAACACGAAATCATGAGTACCAATGACTTAATATTAGACACTGAACATGAAAATGAGTTTTTTTGGTTCTTTGTTACGCTTTCACGCCTAAACCAATAAACCGATTTTAAAATTCTTTCACTAATAGGCTACTTTTTACCGCGATACCCGACATACATAGCCATCAACAGCCTATACTAGTCCACTGCTGGCCATAGGCCTCTCCTTAGAATTCTTCTTCTATAATTCATGTATATTAAAGACCTGTTCACTCGATCATTAAATTTTTCTTACTCCTTGCCAGGAATATACCAAAAGAACTTGGGTACCTCCCAAAGTCGCATTAGTGCTCTCAGGCAGACCTGCTCAGCAGTTCTATGTTACAACGGTGACCACGATCAGTGCTAACCTGGTCGAATAGTCCAGTAATTTTAACCCATGTATGTAACAGCTATTGATTTTTTATGCCCTCGAGAATCAGGGGAGGCAGGAGAGGATTTAGGCTCCGGTAACCTTTAGCATCACTCCAATCGAGACATGCCTCTTCTACGGTAGAATTAATCGCGATAATTCCCTAAATAATATCTATTTATCATTGCAAGCAAACCACAAAAAGAGATGAAAAAATACCGTGGGAACAGAGTTACGATATAAAATTCCAATTTAAACATGGCCACCCCAGGCTGTCCTGCCAACTTTATGGCGGCTGCCGACGTTGACGTTTTATGAGCACTTTGCTCTGTATATCGCCTGAACTAGTTTAATCGTCGATATATACATAAATGTTCAATACAATCCTAACAAGGAATAGGCGTCGATATTGGTTTTATTGGCGGGTTTAATTGTATATTTTTGGATACGAAGAAACTTTACATGATTCGACCTACTGATTCATCAACGCAAAGCCTAAACCGCTAAACCTTTTTATGTTGTAATCACCCACTTAGATATGCTTTTTAGAAATTTCCCCTCTAAGGCGTAGTGCGTTATTTCAAAGTTAGAAACACGAAATAATGCTAAAAGCGGTAATTATAATTATGTAAAGATGTTTGAAACATTACAGTTAAAAATACGTAAAAATACTTAGGTTAAACAGTAGCAGTTTAGATCTTTATCAGAGATCGCCCGGCGCGGTCAAATTTTCCACCGTTTTGAATCTTGATTTATTTTATTGACCAGTATAGCGTGACCTGTTATTGTACAGACTTATTTTCCATGACCACTATACATATATATGGGCTCTTTTAGCTTTATGTATTCGTTTCTATATGAAAAGTTTAATTATATTTTCCACTTCTACATATTGACAAGTATTCCATCGCCATATTGGTTTATAAAGGTGTACTAAAAATTATCGTCACATTAATACATGGATACATATTATTGTTTAACTTCAGGTTGTGCATTCGATGAAATAAACGAAATGTGGCACGGATTAATGCGAACCGCATAATTGCCTAGCTTACAATTAACAATGTGACCATTGTATCTCATGATTCTGACTGCCAGATCAGCCTGTTGGTGATGTGGTCCCTAATTGGTAATCCAGAGAACGTGGGTTCGATTCTTACCCAGGGCAAATAATTGTGTTATAAACATTATCATTTGTTTGTGTCTATTGTCTAATATGTATGTTTTTAGAAATATAAAAGTAAGTTTATCAGCCGTCTGGTAACCAAAGCACAGGCTCTGTCTAGTTTGGGATCAGACGGCTGTGTGTGAGATGTGTGAAATATTATTTATAAAATTAAAAAATAATTTATTTAACTACGTGACGCAATACATGTCACATAATACATTTTGCCAACAAAACAGATTCTTTTCTACTGACATTAAAAGTCGGTTTAGGTCGTCATAAACCGTTTCATTACCTGGTATTTTATGACTTATTATGGTCAGGTCTGTCCTTGGCCTTGCCAATAATAGTAACAATAACTTTACAATCTCACACACGACAGTCTGACTCCAAACTAGGCAGAGCCTGTACTATGGTAACCAGACTGCTGATAAACATACTTATATATTTCTGAATACATACATATTATAGATAAATTACACGCAATACATGCTTGTATCCGTGTGGTGACGGATTAAGAATACAGAGTGTCACCACCCCTATTCATCCCGTGGGTGTCGTAAGAGCCGACTACGGGAAAAAACTACGCAGGAAAACAGCACTGCAAAGAGAAGAAAAACTTGAAACAAACCCTATACCAACCCGTCTGGCCAGCGTGGTATAGTAGGCCAAAACCTCCTTTATAAGGACAGGCCTATGTCCAGCAGTGGACAAATTAAGGCTGTTGATGCTGACATGATTGTACGAAGCTCCGGCTTGTTCAAGCTACTGTGGTCTTTGTTTTAGGTGCCTGTGCGGTAGTCACTACCGCCCATAAACGCCTGCTAGTCACGGGCGGTTAGATGACCTTTGGGATGGAAGAGTACGTTCTCTTAAAGGTTTGAAGCTTATATCGGTCTGGAAATACTCGTTTGTCCCTATACCATAATAATGGCAGGAATACTACGAATAGTACGTCATCATCAAAAGCCTTTCATAGTCCACTGCTGGACACAGGCCTCTCCTTAGAGAGGAGGTTTTGATCTACTATATCACGCTGGCCAGACACTCCGTATTCTTAATACACTAAACTGTGTTGTACAATGTTCATTAATGAAAATCTTCCACAGATGTGTCATTGGGGTTACACAACTAGGTGTCTGGCAGAGCACTCGGCTGACGTCACAGTTTACCTGTAATTTATCGCTGGCAAGCGAATGCTGTGACATTGGCTCTTAATAAAACATTAAATAATTAGAGAACTCATTTCGTATATTAGTTAACGAATTAAAAAAATGGTCCATAGTTTTTTACTTTAATTCTTATTTAAGGGATATTATCCCGTGTGGTAAGTACGGAGTGTCACCACCCTTATTTATTCCGTAAGTATCATAAGAGGCGACTAAGGGAGCAAATTACACAGGACAACAGCACTGCAAAGAGAAGGAAAACTTGACACAAACCTTATACCAATCCGCCTGGCCAGCGTAGTATAATAAGTAGTAAGAAGTGAGGTTATTATATATTATATTGCATTAGAAACTGTACAATGGAGACGGATAAAACCGCAAATCATAGCTAGTTTATTATAAAATGAAAAAAGTATGACATTTCTACAAATACCGGCCATCTTGGATTGTTGCCAATCTAAATCTGTTTATTATGCTTGTATTTAACAGTCGAAATTAGTAATTAATTCTTATAATGGTTTTAAAGTATTATAATGCAAATATTTAATCATATATTATTACTAGCGGACTTAATTAAATGTCCTAGACGAACGCAGAATATTATTTTAGGTGTGAAGTTTTCGACAGTAAAACCAACTAAAATAATCAAATAAAATAGTAATAAAAATACATCTACAACTCGGTTACAGCGCCACCGAGTTATCTAAACTATCCACGGACACATTCAAACAAAAATTTCATCAAAACCGATCCAGCGTATCACAGATTTATAATTTCATCTAGGCAAATCAATGTAAAATTAAATATATAGAAATGTGCGAAAATAACCTTCACGGCAATAATTAATTTTATATCTACAGTTTATAGAAACAATTATTTCAGCAAACAAATACTGCAAAGCCTTACTAGAATAATGAAATTCATGTCGTGAAGATATTTATTTAATAAAACAACACTTACTCTTTCTGTACGGGAACCTCGGGCCTCTAATGAAAGGTGTAACCAGAGGGATAGTATGCACCGACATAATATTTCAAACTAATATTTTCGAAAAAATCCGGTTATTAATAAGAAAAAATAATATTTTTGAAACTGATTTTTGTCAAAAACGTGTGATCCCCGCGCTGACGGACTACGCGAATGAAAAAAAAAGAAAAGCAACTAACATTCCAAATTCAAAAATGTATTTTTTTTTCATCTAGCGTGCTATGCCAGCGATGTATGTGGCTGTCAAACTATGAACGATAATAAGTTTGAATAACTTCGAAATAACATTTAAAATAGCTGTTAATTAATTAAGTGCGCAGGCATTCAGTAAAATTAGATGTTTGGCGTAAAAATAACTCAAACAAAAATATAGTTTTCTAATATTCACGTTTGAATAAACGAGAGAAGAGTTAAACTCGGCTAAAGTATAAAGTAAGAAGAAACTTTCACCTAGATAAACTTTCAGATATTTTTTGGTTTAAAAACTTTTATGACTTATTTTTTTACGTACGTTGTACTTATTTTTCTTCATAACTGATGAAAACCTCTTTTTATTATACGATTTAAAAAAAAAGAGAATGTTCTCAATTTTTATGCTTGTTACTTTATTTGTTACGTTACTAATTTACAGATTTGGAAAATTCTGTTTTACTTAGGAGAATATACTGCCCGTTTAGTCCTATGCACATTAAAAGAAAAGCCTTGTGGTGTCGTGGGACACCCGACAGGAACGAAGTCTCTTATGCTATTTGACAAATATTTCAATTATTAATGTTGGTCAAGGTATTTAAAATAAATATTCATAATTTTATATTTAAACTAAAAAAGATGATTTGGTAATGAACTACAGCTAGTTGTTTTAAGAAAAACAGCCCTTATTTTATTAAAAATTTAATAACTGGAATATTATTGATTGTAGAGAAACATGACTGGTCTCATTTTATTGCTAAAAATCATACGCATTTTATTTAAAGGTGGAAAATTAAGGAATTAACCTGTGGTATTTATTCCCCATACTAACTTCCATCCCACCCCCACTCTTCACTTCCTTAAAGGAGGATTTCTAGGATAAAAACTATCCTATGTCCTTTTCCGGAACTCAAACTCAAATGTCATCTAAATTGGTTCAGCGGTTTAAGCGTGTATAGGTAATAATAATAATATCTCACACACTCACACACGGCCGTCTGATCCCAAACTAGGCAGAGCCTGTACTATGGTAACCAGACCGCTGATAAACATACTTATATATTTCTAAATACATACATATTATAGATAAATTACACCCAGACACAGAACAAATGACCGTGCTCATCACACAATATTTGTCCTGGGTGGGAATCGAACCCACGACCTCCGGTTTAGCAGTCAGGGTCACTAACCACTAGACCAACAGGCCCGTCAAAGGTTACACACATTTATAATACGAGTATTAGCATGGATGATTGAAGTAGGTGATACTTAGGTATAACCATTATATCTAAACTAATATTATAAAGCTGAAGAGTTTGTTTGCTTGTTTGAACGCGCTAATCTCAGGAACTACTGGTCCGATTTGAAAAATTCCTTCAGTGTTAGATAGCCCATTTATCGAGGAAGGCTATAGGCTATATATCATCACGCTAAGACCAATAGGAGCGGAGCACCAATGACGAATGTTTCAAAAACGGAGAAAATTTATTATTATTGAGAGACGCAGACGAAGTTGCGCGGGTCAGCTAGTAGACTATACAGTCCGTGTGGTGACAGATTAAGAATACGAAGTCTTTCAACCCCTATTCATCCCGTGGGTGTCGTAAGAGTCGACTAAGGGAGCAAACTACGCAGGACAACCGCACTGCAAAGGGAAGGAAAACTTGACACAAATCCTATTCCAACACGTCTGGCCAGCGTGGTATAGTGGCCAAGACCTCCTTTCTAAGGAGAGGCCCATGTACTGCAGTTGGACTCTTAAATGCGGTTGATAATGATGATTATTATAGACTATTGTTTTAAGTATGTAGTGTAGAGGCAAGGAGAACCATCTCTTAAGGGGGGAAAGTTGAAAAAGTATCCAGCTGTTTACTGAACATAGAGGTCGTTGGCGTACGAAAAACTACGATATAAACATAGCTGTTTTAGACGGAGTGAAGTGTGCTGAGTTCAAATATTATAATATTTTTACTGTCTGAACGTTATTACACGTTTCTTTATTGTTTCATGTTTTTCTTTCAAGGTTTATTACTCTATCCTACTCAACAACTTATGGCGCAAATTTGAAAAAATATTCTTTAACCACCCATTTAACGCATTTTGAGGGACACTTTTCATACAAAGAGATGGTTCTCCTTGCCTCTACCTACCATAGTTTCAAATAAACCACAGATAAACGAACATAGACTATTTAAAGAGTAATGGAGTTAAACCTCCTTATAAAACAAATATACATCTCAATAGAAACAATTAGACAACACACACACTTTCTAAGAAGAGGCCTATGTCCAGCAGTGGACTGTTATAGGCTGTTGATGATGATGACACAGATTATATTCATGCACATACACAAATATTTGCACGGAACGGGAATGGAATCAGCGACCTTGTTGCAATCATCCACATAATTAAGTAGTACACGACCATGACACATAAATAAATAATTTATTGGGCAATCAATTATTGTTTTGAAACAATTACTTTTGTTATTATCACTTGCGACTCGAGTGTTACAAGTCCCCCACCCTCCCCATTTGTGGGGTGTGTGGACTCTGGTAACCTCACTCGCTCGGTGAAATGAAACGCAAAAATGACTTAACTCCGGTTTTATGTACTACTAGCTTTTGCTCGTGGCTCCGCCCGCGTGTATTTTGAAAGAAAGAAAGAAAGAAAAATCGTTTATTTTGGCAATAATAGAACATTTTGAACAATTGCAACTTGGATTACCAACGATGCCAAAAACGGACCCAATTCAGCCTTATGTCAGATGGAAGCCTGACGCTGGTTTTCAATTGGGCCCAAAATGATGCTATGCGTAAACCCTGTTGCAGAACATTAATAACACATGTAGTACACATTGTATACATACATCACAACATTAATAACATATAACAATAATATATAACATATAACAAGACAAATTACAGATGCAGATCACAATAAAATACACTACGATATACACAATATCCAACAACGTTAATCTATAAATATCTAAAGTCCCTCTAAATATTTCGGTTATCGTGGTAAAAAGGCTTTAAGAATCAAACTATATCCATACCAAATTTCATTTGAATTGGTTCAGCGGTTATTGATTATCTTGCCTAGTTTGAGATCAGAAGGTCACTTCTCGTAATAAAAGTTCGGTCACAATTCAGTTTAGGGCTTTCCTTTCTAGGGTATACCTGGTTCCTAGGCTACTGGTACCTGGAGACGGCGTGCGGTTTTAGGTCGGTTCGAGTCCGACATAATCGCCCATTGGTGGGTGGTATCCGAGGGGAGTTCCGAACAGAAAAAAAAGGTCATAATTCAGTTTCGATCAACTTTCGATCTCACTGTTATAAAAGGTATTTTCGTAGTAAAATAATAGTGTTACTAAGACTAGCAGATTACCGATTAAATTTTCAGTTACAATACGGTATAATCACATTACAGTCAACGTTGGATGTTTAATACTTTCCTACGAAATTATCTTTAATGACAGCTGTGAGATCGAAAGTTGACCGAAACCGAATCGAGATCGAAATTTTATTACGTGAATTGGCGTTCTGACTGCCGTGTGTGAGATGCGTAAAAACTTATTATAGTCGGTTAATATTTCAGTTGTTTTATAACGCAGTTTCCTTGACATGCGCCATAGAACACATATATGTTATAAGTATAGCCCTGCCGACGCCATCTTGCGACATAAACAGCCAAGTGTCGCAATGTTGTGTCGCTCTGTTAGATACTCTTGGTCACACAAAGGTCGAAATTCGACCGTAATTTGTTGTAGATAACAATACCTTCTTCAGCGATAAGAAGGTCTATTTAAATATTACATTTTAAAAGTATATATATTGATTTTCAATTATTATGTTTTATTAACTAAATTTTTGATTAAAGTAATTAAATATAATAATAATATATTCTACCACATACAACACACAACGCCATCTAGTCCCAAACTAAGCAGAGCTTGTACTATGGGTACTAGACAACTGATATAAATACATATATACTTTTTTTTTGTAAATACATACATATTATACATAAAAACAGATCTAATCAAACATCAAATGTTCATGCACACAAATGTTTGACTTGAGCGGGAATCGAACCCGCGACCTTTGGTATAGCAGTCCGTTACACAAACCACTACGCCATCCAACCGTCGAGAGTAATGAATTAAATCTATACTAATATTATAAAGCTGAAGAGTTTGTTTGTTTATTTGTTTGTTTGTTTGTTTGAACGCGCTAATCTCAGGAACTACTGGTCCGATTTGAAAAATTCTTTCAGTGTTAGATAGCCCATTTATCGAGGACGGCTATAGGCTATATATCATCACGCTAAGACCAATAGGAGCGGAGCACCAATGAAGAATGTTTCGAAAACGGAGAAAATTTATTACTATTGAGAGACGCAGACGAAGTTGCGCGGGTCAGCTAGTATAATAATACAGACGCAGGCATAAGAACTTGCCAATTTACACAAACAAAAAACGTGTGTATCTTGGGATGCCCGACAGAAGTGATAACTTAAACTAATCTAAGTTGAATTATTTAATATTGAAGTTGTTTAACTTGAGAAAAGCTTAGGTTATTACTTAAATTTTATGTAAAGCGTCTGTCCAAAATACGGATAGCACTGTGAGTTAGAGTGAGAGAGGAGGAGCCTGCCTGCCGCTGCCGTATGCGTGAGATAAAGGGAAGCCAGACAGAATGGCGCCGTAACGCGTTACGTAACGAAGCGGTTTACGCTCCTATAAGAAGTTATCACTTCAAAAAAATAATAATTAATTGGCAATGGCCAACCTTTGCACCAGGAACGAAGCGGAACGGGAGTTACTATTGACTTCTGTGAGTTTTC